TTAGACAGAAAAAAGTTCAAACGTAAATGTATCACAGTGAAGTCGTTTATCATCAGGGTTTAACACGAACAGTCTCGCAGAGTAAGCTGCTGATGTTTTTAATGTGTCACACACCTGTCCGTCATCATCACTGCGCATTAACATTTTGTTTTGACTCTGTGATAAACGGGTTTGAGAGCTCACAGTAAAGACAGCCATGTTAACATCAGGAACATCTTGCTCGTGGTGTAGTGGTGGAGAAGACGCTAAACTTTCCCATACTTTAAAGAGCTATAAAAAAGGAACCAAAGTGAATGCTGATTTTGAATGTTTTTTATTTATCAGTAACATTCTATAAAGAAATACATTCACACTCACAGTATGATACAGGACCTTTTACATAGTCTGCTGCAAAAAACAAGATATGTATAAGACAACTTATTGATCTATAGGTTGTATTGGTTCTGCGGGAGAGGTACCAGGAGCTGCTGATATCTACTACGACTAAAACTGAAGAGCTGTGACATTTTTTCAACACGTCTACTGAGAATTAATTAAAATAAAAAGTTCCCAAACTTTTAGTGATCTGGGGCCTCTAATTCCTCGACAGGATGTGAAGCTGACAAAAAAAAAGAAAAAAAAAAAAAAGAAATGTGTAGAAAGGGGGAAACCCCGAGACAGAGAGGGGGGAGGGGAGCACAGAAAACTTGCAGATGTAAACAATATATAACAACATATTCAATGTGTACGTTTGCTTGTTTGTCCCACAAAGCCTGGGATAATAATATTTCGTGTTTCCTCGCACTTTAAAAAGAAAAAGAAAAGAAAAAAAGAAAGGAAAATAAAGTGCAGTTAATGGCTCTGGTCATCCCTTTCACTTTCTTTTTCTTGGCTTTGATGGTTCACCTTTCCAAAACTATCATCCACCAATACACATGAACAAGATGTTTCTGAGTATGGCTGTCTTACTGAATGAAAAATGAAACTCAAATAATAATAATAATAATGATAAAACAAAACATTAAACTGAAATGAAGCATAGTTTTTTTTTTGTTTTTCACAAAAGGTCCAATAAAAGCAAGCAGTGACATGAGCGGAGACATGAGGTGGAACGGAGCCATCAGGCCACATTAACTGTAATCTTTAAACTTACCTTCAGCTAAAGTGTAAATACAACAATGTGTGTGATTCATGTCTGCATGGACGACTAAGATGGGTCACTCTCACATGCTGCTCTAAGGCGGGATAACAGCAGCACGGTGAGGATTAACAAACATACAGCCCTTTAGGATTGTATGGATTCAATTAATAAAAAATTAAAAAATCTAAATGTTCACCATTTTGACAGACGTCACCAGAACGCTCTCGTCGAGCGTTCCTCTCAACACAAACATTTACACTACAGAATGTGCCATCAGCCACGTGGGTTCAACTTAAAACAAGAACAACAGTGAACTCTAAACATGGTTTAGAGCACCAAGTTGTGTCAGTTCTCATGAAAGCCCTATCAAGCTGATCTATATTACGTCTGAATATAATATACAAGACAGGAGAATAACTTGTTAAACAGGATTTTCCCAGCTCACACACACTCTCTCTCAAGTCAGACCTCTGACTGTGAGCTGGTTTCCTGAAAAGGTGAAGAATAAAATTTAACGCTCATTTACCTGCAAACTGGCTTTAATTTCTTTCCTTTGGGAGTTGAGGACAAGAGAACTGCTGCTCAGTTCCATTCAATATCATTAATTCTTCAGCTAATGCAACTCTTTTGCAATCACTGTGGGGGAAAAAAAGCTCTGTCAGCTTTGTTGGTTAGGTAAATAAACATGTGACACAAAGGCACTTTGTATCTACAAATGGAAACCCAAGCGACTTCCACGGAAAAAGGAACCGATAGTATTAAAAAAAAGAAAGAAGGAGTTGAATCAAAATGTGCAGTCGCACCACCAGCAACTTCATACCGTCTGTCCTGGCCTGCGTGTTCGCTGTGCTAGCTGGAGACAATGTAGATTTTGGTGGCGTCTGACACAACCACAGGGAGTCATCAAAGTCAGACTTTGTTCAATTCCATCGTTAGGGGCTTTAACCTGGATCCTGCTCAGGGGCAGAGCGGCTCCGCCCCGGCCGAGTTAACCCTCAGTGGGTGAAGCCACAGAGAGGATCTCTGTCCACAGAACCCTGTGAGCTGCAGTAACAGGAATCTCCTGCTTGACCCTCAATACGAGGTCTAACACCATCTTGGACAAAATCTTGATCAATGTCGAAGTCACAGAGCAACAATGTAAACGCAAGAACAGATGAAGCTGTGGCCAAATAAGCTTCTGCCCCTTATTTTATTGAAAAATGGCACTGGCAGTGTATTCTGTGTCATTTGATGTTTAACTGTGAGAATTTTGTCCTAAATGTCACTAAAGCTCTACATCAGCTGTCAGAGGAACTTAACATTTCCCCAACGTTTCTCTCTGAACTGCTCGCCGTCTTGGACCCTTCAGTAGTTTACAGACAGGTTTAAATTCTGAAACTACAGCTCCCTGTTAGAGCAGCTCTGCCTTTGAGAAATTTGCTGTTATTGAAAGTAAAACGTAAACAGCTGATGGAGCACTGGTGCTGAAACCAAAGCTAAACCAGATCAGGACACAGAGACACAAGTGGAGAAAACACAACCTGACTCTGACTGCTTCACACTAGTGTTTTGTAAGTTGCTGGCAGTGTGTTTGCACTTTATGGGATATTAATAAAACCAGTAAATCACCTGTAACTGAAACAACAAACTGACACACTGATGGCACAAACACAAGAAGCTAAAAGGCTGATCCAAAATTAATTATAAATTTTTTCATGCCAGCCTGTCGGAATGAGACCCAGCCCCAACAAAGTGGGTTTATTTGACCTCTCTGGGTTTTGAATTCAGTACAAAAAAAAAAAAAAAAAAAAAGAGTCCCTTCAGTCTGTTTGGTTGCTTTTTTCTTTCTTTTTTTGGTTTCTCCTTTGATCCAATTTCAACTCAGATAAAGTTTTATATATTTGTTAAGGAACAAGTGAAGACAATAAAATATTTCCACACTTACATTCAAGTGCTTAGAGGGTTATATTGCATCATTATCTTGTCTGACTCTACTCTAGACTGTAGCCACTGGACTTGCATTAAGCCTGCATGTTTAAGGACACGAGATGAATTTACTGTAGAAAGAAAAAATAAAATAATAAAAAAAAAAATCGAACTCTTGCTGTCCTCTAGAAAATATCTAAGCGCTTTAGCGTTGATACTGTTTATCATTAAATATATTCTGAGTTACAAACAGCGTTTCTAAACTGCCTATCAAAACAGTAACCAATTCACATTTAAGGAGCAGGAAGAGCACAGAGGCACAGAAGCTTATTGCTGCCACCGATGTAAATATATGTAGAAATACTGCACTTTGATATTCACATTGTTTTACCCAGCCTAGGATCTGTGTCGGGGGGGTTAAACCACATGCAGGCCAACGGGTTTAGTTAAGCCGAATGAGAACTAATTATCAGGTTGTATTAGAGAGGGTGTTAACATCGGCCTCCGCGGTAAAGTGCACAGTCCACACGAGAACATTTGAGGCTTCATCTCGACAGTTTTGCGATTTGTGAGGAATCCTTGCATTGCAGTTAAAATGGCCGAAGAGAGTTAGCTGTGTTTTTTTTTTTGTTTTTTTTAATGTAAACAATGGCAAAGAGCCACAACTTTGGAAGTTCAAGTGTTGTCTGTTTTACCCCAGGTGGGGTTTATCAGTACCAGGGCTAAGCGATGATGTTTGGGTTAAAGTAGTCTTCATCAGTCACTGAATGTTTATATATTTTTAACCAAATTAATGAGGACTAATTGATCGATGACTATGAATGACTTAAAAGCTACTGAACGAGCCTGAGGAGGGAGGGTCAGGGTTACTGGATATCAGAGAAATCACAGCTCTGTTTGTACAACACGGAGCTGGATCATTAAAGCGTCTGAGTAACAGGTTGTTAGATGAGATGAGAAATACTTACTGCAGGATCACAAACTGATACCAAAGGCTACATCCACTAATTAACCTCTGACCTCTACAATGAAAGGAAAATTTAAATATAGCGAGTCATGAGAAACTGTACGCTGATGATTCATGAAAGCCGTGGTTTTTAATTAGATCGCCTGTGTATTAACGGTTTGAACCAGCGAGGGACAACTGCTGTGTACATGGTGAAATTCTAACATCACTCAGCCCTCATTAGTACCAGCCACATTTCATGTTCTTTACACTTACGCGTTTTCACTTCGGCCTCGTTGTGTTCATATTGCTTTTTAGTGCCAATGGAACTAAACCATTTTATCCACCTGTGTTCCTGGTCGGACACAGTGAGTATGAAGTTTTTGTAGCTTAAGTTTTTTATTCACTGAAAAAAAAAAGAAAAGAAAAGAAAAAAAAAAGAAAACGAAATCTGTGCCTCACCATGAGTGTATACTTTTATAGACTGCGTAGTGAGACCTCTGTGTTTTAGTACCTTGCTCAAGCCATTTGATCTCTACAGGGAATGTAACCCCAAACCCCGGCAGAGTTAGTGTCGTACTCCGCCCCAGGGAGCTGTAGAGGAGACTCAAACACTTCTTCCAGCTCACTTGCATAAAGGTTTGTTACCGCAGGGCAGTTGAAGTGATCACCACCAAACCCAGTGTAACAAGCCAAAGCTGATTGCAGTGAATTCGGCATGTTTTTTTTTTCCGACCACTTCACTGATGCACCTGCAATACCTGCATTTCTTCCTACTTTAGTCACAGAAGAGCACCTTTCATTATATTTTATACTTACAACAGAAGCACATCTAATCTGCTGACTGACGATGGGAAACAAAAACGAAAAAATCTGACTGATCATTGGTTTCTAAAGCCCCACTGTGGGGTCTGTGTGGCAAAGGAGCTCCTGACTGGAGGTCAGGTGAGAGCAGAGGGGGAGGGGGTGGGGGCAGGTGGCTCCACAGTGTTGGGTCCTCATGGTAGAGACTCCTCTAAGACTTGCCTGCGCTGGCCAAAAACGGGACTGAGCCGAACAGGTCCTCTGGTGGGAGGGGCTTGGGGGTGGAGGCAGCTGGCTGCGGTCGGTCCGTTTCCACACTGGCTGTTCTCTCCACTGGCTTGTCTGTAGGTAGAAGGTCACAGAGAGACGATACTTAAATGCAATCCTCCATTCAAGTTATCTCTAAGTTTGGTACTTTACTTTACCAATAACTTTAGATGTTGTTAAATCTGCAATTTTCTTGTGTCGAAATTCCACTGAGCACCGACTAAAACAGACAATAAAGCGCTGACACTGAACACTGCTGATAATATAACCTCACCGGTGGACATAAGGGGAAAAGTAAATCTCTTTATTTATTTGAAAGAGCATCTTTTGTAAAACTATCCCTCTTTAAAAGAGGAACAGTTGAGCAATAAATGATGAAGTAAAGAAAAGAGTAAACGGGTCACTTGCTTGCTCTGAGCATGTCAAACTCCCGGTCGATCAGCTCCTCCTCCGTCAACTTGGAGAAGTTGTCCTCTCCGAAAGGGTTCCAGCCCGACATGTCGGGGGGGTTACTGACTGTGCTGTTGCAGCTCTGAGAGGGCGGGGTGATCCCGTCTGAGGCAAGAAGAGGGTTCCTACTGTGGAGGGAGGACAACAAAACACCACGTTACATTTAGGATTTTCCCCGCTGCACACAACTTTGTCACAAGGAAGAGACTACGTTATACTTAAAATAAAAACCCAGACGGTCAAGAGATTTTCTGCTCCGGGGTCGAGGAGGTTTGTCCGGGAAACAAAGGTTCAGACAGACAAATCTAAATTAATACAAAGTGACAAAAGTGGAGATTTTAATACTTTTTTCTGTCACTTTGGCACCTTGCAAATAAACACAGATTTTCTTTGCTCAAATTTGCTTTTATATAATGTTCCTGTCTTTGTTTTAAATAATAAAAAACATCAGTAAAAACAGCTGTTACAAAGTTACAGTTTATTACATAAGAGAGAAATAAGAGATAAAAAAAAATGTAATCTTGAAATATAGGTATCACAATTACAAACCCAGGTTAATTGACTCCATGATTTAGAAACCAAACTTACTTAATAAACCAAAAAGAGTTTTGACAAAATGTAATACTTCAGTGGGGTTTTGTCACCTTATAACAAGAAAATGTTCCAACTGGTATTTGAAAAGAAATATTTTCATCGTATTTTGACATCTGGTTTGACAGTAACTTAAACTGAAGAACATATTTAAAACCTGAGTATTCTGTGACAATGTTCAATTCACCGTTATTTAGTTTTATGTTGAAGATCCATTGATATGCTTAACACTGCTGACCAGTAAAGAACAGGATCCAACATTATACCAATACTTGGATCTGGTTTCATTTTTAACGAGTCGCCTTCGAACTAACACGATAAGTTCAGGGGACGTCACCTGGGGTTAGTGTACGAGGGATCCACAGGTGATAGCCCCCCCATCTGGACAGTTCCTGCTCCAGGCCCAGCAGTGGGTGTGGTCGTGTTAAAGGAACCCAGGGGGATCTGGAACTCAAGAGGGGAGGACATATAGGGGAGAGGCTGCTGAGCGGGATGATGCGGCTGCTGCTGATGTTGTTGATGATGTTGGTGGTGATGCTGCTGCTGCTGCTGCTGTTGTTGTTGTTGTTGTTGCTGGACAAAAGCCTGTTGGTACTGGTGCAGCTGTTAGGGACGGAAGAGAGGGAGAAGAGGGGGGAGGGAATGAGGGACGGACCTTTGATTTCATGGCGCACAATGACGGCAACAAGATGATGAAATGTTGTTAGAAACCAGTTCTGGATTTGGAAAGCTGGGGACACAGTGGAGGGGAGGGATGAGGGAATGAAAGTCAAACAGCACGTAGGACACAAAACTGAACAAACGAACTTCCAAATGCAACAAGGATCACCTAACACACTGGCTGACAAGTTTCAAGCTACTTTTTGGGCCATTTTGAGAAAAACACAGGTTTCACACAAAGTACTGAGCAAAAGTTTTAGGCACGTCTGCGAATCCCTTCTGCAGCAGGACAACGAGCCCGAACACACAGCCAGAGTCATGAAGAACTACAGTATCTTCAGTGACAAGAACAAGGGCTCCTGGCAACAGATGGTCTGACACTGAGACAGACTGAATCCACGGAGGAGAACTGGTGCTGTATTAAAAGGCAAAGGAAGGTCTGAATCTGAAAACAAATATTAGATTTGATTTAGGATTTTTCTGCTTCCTGTTTACTGATAAAAGAAAAACTGTTCATGGAATTATCATTGAAAGCATCCTCACTTTACTTTTAGAGCCTTAAAACGTTTGCACAGTACTGTATGTCAGCTGTTCTAAATAACATGTCAGCAAAAAAAACTCCCTATTTTCCCAACAAGAAACAAAAAAAAATGAGGCCCCTTCTCCATTCAAGAAGTCATAAAGATCTCTCTCATTTAAAAACCCATCATCACCGGTTTGTTTTAGCTTGGGACTATACCAGGAGCACCATGCAGGTCTCTGAATATAACAAGGACTTTTTATGTGAATTCTCTAAAGATTAAATGAGTCTCAAGTTATCACTCACTAAATCTGTTGTTGTTGCTCCGTCTTCTACCACTTTATTCCATGTTCTTTTAAAAGAAAGCACATTACTGTTGTGCTTTTAACGAACTGTACCGATAAAGTTGATGTTCTGTTATTAAACCATATGACAAATTTGCCGTCGCTTTGCAAAGCTTTGTCATGAAAACAAGGCGCAGGTTGAAGTTCACTGAGGAAATGCTGCTTTTTAAACGTTCAGCAGGTTTCTTGGGAATAAGAACAGTAATTATGAGAGGTGCTCTCTTGTCCTGTCTGTGAACTGCTTCATATGTCAGGATGCAACGCAGAGGAAACTGCTCGATTTCACCCTCTGTTCGATCCCCTCGTGGCTTCGCTCAGACCAGATTGCCTCTGAAATAAAACAGATGGTACGCGTTCGGTGGGAAACGAGACTAAAAATTGCGCCGCCCTAACAGTGTGCATTTGGAGGACCTGTGTTTGTGTGTTTGATTCAGTAGCTGTGTAAATACTAGTTTTTTGAATATTTGGACAGAGTCAGTAGGAAGTTTGAGCGTCTGCTTCCAATGCTGCTTGGCACAGACGTGGAGCGATTCGACTGAAGCGGACTGGCTGCCAGTGTTTGGAACAGAGAGAGCAATTTTAGGCCATTCTGACATTAAATGAAAAATTCAGCTCTGTGGTGTTTCACGCTGCGTCTCCATGTGTTTCGCCGTCATTTGCTCAAACTATTTATTGCAGTTTTGGATAAAATCTTCTGTTCTGAGATTCTGTCGTGATTTTGAGATAGGAGCAGCCTCGAATGCTTCAATGGCTTGAACGCTAACAAAAGTAAATTCATTTTGATGGGTTTCCATTTTAGCACAGATAGAAAATCAATCTCCAGCCTTGACAGGTTTGGTACCAGGTTCAGACCTGTGATAGAACTCACCATGGCTGCGTACTGAGCCTGGGCCTGAGCCTGAGCCTGAGCCTGGGCCTGGGCCTGAGCCTGAGCCTGGGCCTGGGCCTGAGCCTGAGCCTGGGCAACCTGCTGCTGGTACATCGGCTGCATCATCATCTGCTGTTGCTGCTGGAGCAGGGCCTGCTGCTGCTGAAGCTGGAGAGACTGCTGCACAGCCTGTTGGTACTGAGGAGGGTTGTGAAGAGATTAAAAATCTCAACATTTCCTCTGATGCCAGCTCCAGAAATCAACTGCCAGAAAAAGCTGTTGAGCAGTGACTTTGATTTGTATATGTTTGTGTTGGATGTACCTGGAGGTATTGGAGTTGCTGTGCATTTGCATGTTGTTGCTGCACTACTTGTTGTTGTTGTTGTTGTTGTTGTTGTTGTTGGTGATGATGATGATGTTGTTGTTGTTGTTGTTGTTGTAGCTGCTGTAGACGCAGGTCGCCAGGCTGTAGCTGCTGCAGGACTCGGTGCTGCTGACTGCTAGGCTGGGGCTGCATGGACGGCGGCCCTGAGCCAGGGGTGGGAGCTGAGTGGTCAAGATGAAGGGATGGATTTATTACTTTGAACATCACATCACCACAGACACCAAGAAGAGTAAACTGTAAAACTGTAAGCCTTTGAAACATCCAAAAAAATGTACAAGGATAACACTTGAATACCCTGTGATAAACCTGACTTTATTTGACCCCTGTAAATAGTGGTGAGTGATTAATTATGTTTTTGAGTAGGGTGGGAGTTTTCTGAAAGTACCATCTAAAGTCTTTTGTCAAAAGTTACAAGACCTTCAGACAAACTTTAGCATTTGTTTTTCTCCAAACAAACACACTGTATCTTCATGTCATATGAATTCATGTACAGTCATGTACGGTGTGTAATTTCTCAATTTTAAGTTTTATTTTCTTTTTCTGTAGCAATAAAAACGCAGCTGCAGCACAATGGAAACTTCCTCAGATGTAAAATATCAGTGTCACTCATGCTCAGCAAACCTTTCTGGCCGTTGCTGACGGGTGCTGAAGGCATGGTCATCTTGACAGGGGTGACGGTGTTGGCGAGGGGCAGGACGTTGCTGTTTGCTGCCTTTGGCCTCTGTCTGGGAGCTATTGATGTTTCCGTGGGGCCGACAGAGTCTGTTATCCTGGAGGGAGGGAATCAAAAGTTGCGGTTTGATTTTCTTTGACCGATTCCAGTGAACTGTGTCCCTCAATGCAAAGGTGTACGTTTGCACTTTGTGCCATCCTGATGTCTGATGTGTTGTTCTGCTTTTAAATTTATTCCTTTTCATTAGCCTGAAGAAGAATCATTCTTTAAAGCTTGAAAATTATAATCATCAACCTTGAGTTTTCTCTTATTTTCTATTCTATACAAGTTATCATCATATCATTTTATTACCAATACTATTTTGTACATCATAAAGAAAAATTAAGATGAGAAAACTCAGCAGTACCTGGCTTTTGTCATGCTTTTCTTAGCAGCGACCTCACTGGCCGTTAGAGGCTCTGGGAGAGACGTAGGGATGGGAGAGCTCTGGAAAAAGAGCAGGAGAATTATGTTAACAAGAAAATGACTGCAACGGATGAAGCCACACTGATTGCTTCGTTCCAGTGACTTACAAAGAGATTTGGCACTGGACAGTCTTTTCCAGCTAACTTGAAGGCAAAGTAGGACACTTGGTAAATGTCTGGTCTCTTCTCCTGGTCGGGTTCGAGCATATATCCTGGAACAGACAGAGGTCATTTTATACAGCATGCTGTGCAAAACAACACTAGCTGATTTATTGCAGTTAATGTGCATCTTCTCTCTTTTGCCACTTGGTGGAGCTGTTGGTCAAACAATTAAAAAAGGAAGCTCCACCACAGCATACATTTAGGGAAGTGAAAGAGCTTGAAAGCAAACAGGGCTGCCATGACTGACAGTCCATGACTGGTTCAAACAGGCCGAGCTGTGTAAATGCAAGTTCCAGTATATACCCAGATGTATGTCGAACACATTCACAGACAAACTGTTTTGCAGACACAAAAGTCAAAAGAAGAAAGCTTTGCAACTCAAAACACACCTTTTACAACTGTCTGATTCACTAAAACAGTGACTGTGAGGTAGTAATGATTAAACTACACATTCTGACATCGTCAATCTGTGTGTTAAACTGCCCCGACTTACTGATTAAGCAGTGCAACTTGAAGGAGAATTTGGAGTTATCTGGAACAATAAAGGTTCCGTCACATATGGCAACTTGACTCTCCCCAAATGGAAGTGCGAAGAAACACAGCTTGTACAACAAGCATCCAAGTGCCTGTGGAGAAAAAAGAAACAGTCTTGAAAAACACCTGAACCCAGTGACTTTGAGTGGTGAGTATCGCTTCAAATTTTCAATGCCTGCGCCAACACGATACGCAGGTTTAGATACCTCATCATACTGCCCCATATACTTTTTTCAATTCCTTTCTTTGAGAATTTAGAACATGTCATTGCTTAAATATGATACAGTTTTAAACCGGTAATGATTCAAAAGTAAATATCTGATCAACAGAGTCCAAAAGATTATGAATCCCATTTGCATTTGATGCCAATTTCGAATGCATGATAGTTGTTGATAGTTGGTGCATGTGATGATGTTTGGAGCTGAAAAAGAATCAAGTTTCGCTATTCAGCCCTGGTAAATATGCAACAGTTGAAAACATAAACACTGAAAAAGAGAAACTACAAGAAGACCGGGGTGAGAACTTCAGGTACTTCCCTCACTACCTTGAGACTGTGAGGATGCAGCCACTACTGAACTATTTTTTTTTTTTTTAAGTATATTTTTTGGGGCTTTTTATGCCTTTATTGGATAGCACAGTAGAGAGAGACAGGAAATGGGGAGGCAGAGAGAGAGGGGGAATGACATGCAGTAAAGGGTCGTCCGATGTGGGATTCGAACCGGGGCCGACTGCAGCGAGGACCGTAGCCTCTACATATGGGGCGCCACTCGACGCCCCCACTACTGCACAATTTTAACTACGTTTGCTGAATTACCACTAATGGTTTCTAATTTAATGTTTAACTTGTTTCGAATCAAGGAAGTAGAAAAAAACAATCCAAAATCAAATTTAAAGTTTCACTCTGTGTATGCACCGATGAGTCAAAAACATTATGACTACTCACAGATGAGGCGAAGACTGTGGATTGTATCATAACAACGACTTCCTATTTCATTTATGAACCATCAGTTATGTGATGTAAAACATATTTTGTAGTTTAAATCATTTTCCATGGCTTCATAGCTCGACTAACTCAAAAAAAAATACAGCACATTAAACCAGCTGCCTGTTTTAATGTTGTGGCTGATCATTACAGACCACTATAGGTCACTTAACGTGTCAGGTACAGTCTGTTCTAGAGGGAAGTGAAGTCCTGACCCTGGCACCAACTGAGCTGCACAGGACTGCTTAGCAAAGAATTAATGTTCCTTATGTCACCGGCTAAAAAGCGGCTCTTAAAAAACAGGCCCGGAGTCTGCTCCCCTGGCAATATGACTGTCCAAACAAATCCACATGCAAAAGTGCTCTGCTCCCGAATCTTATATTCAGTTGGCGCTATATTTGGCTCGGGCATCTTTTTTTGCTGATGATGCAGTTGGAGATGAAAGAGACTTTGGAATTAGCCACAGCGTTTAGGGAATGTTTTCCTTTAAGCGCTCTAATCTGAAGACAGATATTCTTCACAGTTCTCTGCTCAACAAGCTAATCCAGTCTGATATTAAACTCCTAATCCGAGTCAGACAGCACATCCGCCTGCAAACCCCCAAAACGCATGAATAAATGCATATGACATTTGTGCAAGGCACAATGTATAAAACAGTATTTTCAAACACGTGGCTAAACATAGAACGGGAAGTGAAAACACAGGGGGGTTGCTGACAGGAAGTTGGTGCTTTTTGTTGTTCTATGTCCCAGTAGCTGTCATCCTACACCCAGAGGCCTACTAAAAGCTTCTGTATGATAATTTGCAAATGTATACATGCACATAACTATAAGTGCAGACTGATAAATGAATCCAAAGTGGCAGGAGCATTAAAATAACAGCAAAAGCTATAGTTGTTGGCTGGCAGATAGACAATTAACCTGAGCCACAATTATCACAATTAGATTATATTATGCTGCCTGATCCCTGCAGTGCTGTTGTTGTTTCTATACATTTTACATTATACTTCACAGTAAAAACATCACAGCAGTGATCGTGAGTCACAGATGTAAAACGACCGAACATGAAAACGTCCAAGCAGAGTGCAAACTTTTATACGCAGGGGTGTGTCCCATCAACAGCTACATCTTTCTATGTTGGCCGTTTTACCTCCCTGGGTTTGGAGTGCATCAATTTACACCGCTCCTCAAAATGGCTGCTGTCCAAGCCCTTCTTCTCGCCTCTCTGCCTCGCACCTTCAAATCAGCCGAGGCCCGTTTCACACGAGCTTATCGAGGTCCTCAAGTGAGCCTAATTATCTCAAAACGTGGAGAAAATAGAAGAGGAGAGGCAGCGGGGAGGGAGGAAGAGGATGAGATGGAGCCCTGGCTTTGTTGTGAATGATGTTGCTCAATGTTTTATGAGGGAAAAACACTGTTGGAGAGCTGGTGGAGGCAAATAGCCCAGGGTGAGCCAGGAAGAGAGACACAGAGCGAGAGAGCAAGAGAGAGCGAGAGAGCTGAGGAACCCGTCGGGGCAGAATGACGCCCAGGACACTGCCAGGACAAACCAGCCCTGCAGGGTGCATAACTAACACACACACACACACACACACACACACACACACACACACACACACACACACACACACACACACACACACAGTTCACAAATGCAAAGTAGTATCTTACCCATATATCAGCTTTAGTGGTGATGGCTTTCCCTGCGTACAAGTTAATCATCTCCGGAGCCCGATATGACAGGGTCGTGTACCTGTGACATACAGCAACAAGAAGCAGTCAATTGCTGCTCGATGGTCACGTGACTAAGCACCAGCGGCGCAAGGTCACTAAATACACAGTCAAGTGTATTTATGCAGGTTTGAGCACAATTGTGGAGGTACTTTTAATGTTACTTTATCACATTTTAAAAAGGAAAATAATGTATTTTAACCCTAGTGCAATAACTGATTTTTTTGGCCACTCCCTTCACCTTTTAAAATGAACATGACAAACTTGTTAGCAAACATTACAGAAACAGCAGTTATCTTTCCGGCCACCTAACAAATGTAAGACCATTATTCACTGTTTACTCTACCTAAGGGAAATACCTGGCTCTTCAGCTGCTAAATGCTCCACCATATTTTTTCTACCACTTTGACATGTAGTGGGGTATTTTTGCATTTCGGTTTTGTTACTTTTGCTGTAGTAAAGGTTACTGGTTTCCTTCATGACTGCTGAGCACACGTTTCTTTGATGACGCAATGTGTGCTTCCTGTTACTGAGGCACAGAAAGAAAAATGACCAGAATCTGCCAGCAACGGTTGCCTAGTTCATCTTTCAAAGTAACACGGAGCCAAACATTTCATTTTGCTTCCCGTTCAGTCATTCTGATAATGATCAAAGCAGCTGGTTGTGTTTGGAATAAAGTCAGCTGAGTTATGAAAATATGAAGTCACCACAGTTCAGAGGCCGGATGGTTTCTGTATGACCGCTGTCATGGAGGAGGAGAGTTTACACACGGTCATATACTGCTGATAAGCGCCACACATTGTCCTTTATTGCCGCTGTAAATGTGGGAAAGTTGACAGACCAGATCTGAGCCGCCTGCTCTGATTTGACACTACACAAATAGAATACAAACACACCGCACAGCCATTGTGCAGGTGGTGTGACAATAAAGGTTTGTACACCATCATCTGCATTGGATCAGCAGCAGTTTGCAGCAGCGTGTTTATTTATGGTTTACTTGCATAGAGTTATGTGAGACGATGGTAGAGCTGAGGTATTCTGATCTGCTCCCAGTGTGACTTACAAGCTTATTCTTCTGTTTTGCGGACACAGATAAACAGAGCCAGAATTGCAGCAGGTTGTGTGGAACACCTTTTTTGACAGAAGTCTTGCGGTCATTGCTAAATTTGGTTTGGTAAGGAGTATTCTGCCGGCTTTACAGTGGAACGAGCTGGGTGTGAATGTTAAGATACAGGTAACCTCAAACACATCTCCTAGTTATGGCTCCTCTTGACTAAACAGTCCGGGACACTGAGGAGAGCCGGCAACTAAATTGGACTATAAATCTATTTTGTGCTTTCCCGTTTGTGTTCCCACCAAATTTAAAAAGGAGCGTGAGGTTGAGGCACACACAACCAATACATTATTACAAGGCAGTACCTTCGTTTATGACACAATTATGGCACAAAGCATAGAGTTGTAGAATTCTGAATAATTTACTATTTTGTGTTGATGTGACGTTAGAATTAATGCTGGAAAGGAGATGTAGAGAGTCAGGAAAGGACTGAAAACAACAGAGAAGTTGAAGGTTTTTTTTAATGTTTCCTACCTATTCTTCAGTCTTTGAATGTAACTGCATTAAAACCGTCAGAAAATAAGGTTAGGCATAATTGTTAATGCTTTCTTTCATTATGTCTCTATTGTTGCCTTACTTTTCTGAACTGGTTGGGAAATCTGCTTTGCAACTCAGTTAAAACCATCAATAACATTGCAAGAAATTCCCACCCTACAAATCTTGTTGTTGCAATCTAGAGGCATTAGTTTGACTAGTCAGTAGCTTGTGCTAGTGTAAAATCTGCTTTGACGGATCCTAGGCCATCTACTATCTCAATACTATCTCAGTAGTTGGGGGGCAAGAGTTAAACCTTTAGAAAGCATGTTCCTGCAGTTAAAATGCAGATAGAGTTTCTCAGTTTCTCCATATGGTTCCTCTGGTGCGAACAGACACACACTGGTCATTTTTGGCAGTGGACTTACACGACAGTGCCAACTTTAAACACCACTTCGACAAGTAAAACAATAATGTTCCAGGAGCCAGAACATAGAAGCAGGTAAATATTATGGCTTAATCAACTAGTGGCATGAATAACATGAAAAAAAAAAAAAACCACTTACTTCTTAATTTCGTCCTCCACAGCAGTAACTCCATCTTTATGTGGCAGTAAAACCTTGTGAGTGGCACTTCCAAAGTCACACAGCACATAATTTCCCTGGTCATTCAGCAGGATGTTTTCAACCTGGTGAAGGAACAGACAAAGGTTTTAGATTTTTAATGAAAAATAGGAGGACTGCTGCCATTTATGCATTTTGCTCTAAATTTCATGTGCAGAACTGGTCTGACAATGGCCCCTATGAAAACTCTGCATCCTGCACAGTTTAGCAAAAGCTGTGGTCGCGATTGAAAGTCATTCAAAATCTTCATCAAAAACTGTGACCAACCAACTTTGTGACTGACAGACGAACAAACAAACAAGCTGAAGCTCATCTCCAATTACGTCATTATGGGCATGGATGACAATTAGTGGATAATGTTGCTTGTAAAAACTCACAAATCCCACACCCACACACAAAACTGATTTAATACACAATGATGGAGTAGTGAGACAAGCCCTCATTACAGTAATTCTGCCACAGGAGTCTCAACATAACTGTTCTGTGGCCTGAGAGACAGAAGGGAAATCTCTTCAAAATAACAAGTCAGTCTAAAGAGAGATCTGTTTCTTATTTGTATGTTATCAGATGCATTTCGTTTTCGGGTTTTCAGGCCATGGTTTTCAGTTAACGCTTTTATTATAGGGGTACAGCAGGGAGATTTCAAGCTTGAGTAAAAACATAAAACCAGCAAAGAAGGATGTGAGTAATGACTGAAAGATGGGAAACAAGTAGCAAAGAAAAGAAGAACAAACAGAAAGAAAACCAAGACACAAGGAGGGAAAACAAAAGTGCAACAAGGTCATAAGATGCAAAATGTAAGAAAGAAAGCCAGTAAAGTAATTTGTAAGAGATGTGAAACAGAAGAAACCAAAAAGAAGACAGAGGAGAAGATTTGTCAACTGTCCAAGGGAAAAGTGAACTAATGAAAGCAACAGAGACTGTCTCAATACTGTTGACGGCTCAGGGTTAAGGGGCTTTTTTTGCACTCTCACTTTCCCTGGCGATGCGTGACTGGGACTCCATGGTCTTTTGTGTCCCTGCGATGTTATGTAAGCCATGTAGGCTGAACAGATAGACAGTGAACAGAGGACAGGCCTGTGGAGCTGAAGGAACCGCTCTGTTTAGAGGTTTGTCCAACTGGACAGAGTACAGCAGCCCACAGATGGGGGCACTGAGGAGAATTCAACTAGGGTGGGAAATTACCACCGGCCTCCAAAATGAGGGTAATGCTGGCTCGTAGCCACCCTTAATTTGAAAATCTACTCTAAAAATCAAGTTGGCTAAAAGCTAGTGAGGAATTACAAGATGAACCAGCTACAGTTGCCTGTTCAAAGAGTAAGCCGGGTGCTCTGGCAGCAGGAGGTGTGGGAGAAAGAGGAAAAGGAGGTGGATGAGCGAAGACCAGGGGGGTATCAGCTGAGAGGAAGGGGAGGAAATAAGAACAAGCTGGCAAAGGAAGTGGGGGAGCACAAGAGGAAGCAGAGGAGTTAGAACAAGTAGTGAAGTGAAAGCCAAGTGTTCTTTCTTCTGCTGACCAAGCAGATTAATCACTTAACTTTATAAACATCTGACATCAACTTTAACTAGAGGCCATCCTGCAACGAGATCACACCAGCACCAGCAGCGACGCATGTTAACACGCTGACGTTCTGCTACACCTATGTTCTCTCAAAACCTCCTCTGTGCTGGTTCCTGCTACAGTAGGTGTCTCCAGCACCACAGTATAAAAGGATGACACACACACACACAAACACATTGACTCACAAGGTGAAAACAAAACCAGCCATGCGCCGTTACTGCTGGTAATAGACAAATGTGCAAATCCACAAGTTCCTCCTTTTGATGTTGTTGACATCTTTGGAAATACAGTTCTGTTGCAGTGCACCTCACTTCAGAACTTGTCAAACACTGTGGGGGATTTTCAGACATCTTTTCTTTTTGTTTCTGTTGAGGAAGTTCGTAGGTGACACACTTTTCTTTAACCTCTCATTATATGCCTGCTCTTGCTTCCAGGAGTATTTGTTTTTTGCTTTTTCCAAGACCTTTTCAGACCCGCTGGGTGTTTAAGGACAGCGAGTGTGGCAACAACATTGCCCTGTCAGACTAACATCTACAAGCTACTGTCATATTGGACAGAGGAACTCAGAGTAGGTCAGTAAATTGGTTTTAGTGTTTTCCTTGAGGGAATCACTTTAGGGAGTTGCATTTACTGATATTTTTTGTCAAGGGTTAAACTTAATGCCTAAACAATTATTTGATTAGTCACTCAGCAGATTATTTGACGGCGATAAATGATTTCGGTAATTTATTAACCAGAAATATCTCAAAGTCTTTGGTAGCAGCTTCTGAAAGGTGAGGACTTGGTGCTTCTCTGTTAAATGTCTCTGTAAATTGAAAGTCTCTGGGTCTCAAACTGCTGCCCTGAAAAAACAAGCAATCTGAAGCTGTCACAGGCTGTCAGGAATTGTGATGGGCCGTTTCTGACACTTCATAACCAAAAAAAATGATCCATCCGACAAACAGAGGAAGGATAGAGGGAGGAAAGAAAGAGAGGGAGCTTCCCGTCACCTTTAGGTCTCTGTGGATGACGGGCGTCTTGCATTGGTGCAGGCGGGCCACGGCCTCACAGGTGTCACAGAAGATGTGAAGGACCTCAGCCTCACTGAAGCCCACGTTCAACCGCTGGTTCATCTGCTTCACCACCTGACCCGCTGCAGGAGAGAGGTGGAAGGACAGATTAAGGACTCGACACAGCTCATCATTTCAGGCTTGGAAACCAACATCAGCCAACACGTTCGGTGTTTTGACCCTCTCAGTTCTCCTGTGCAAGTGTGTTTATATTCACGCCCTCAGGTTGGACACCACCTGATTAAGATTCAATATATCGTACACAGTATCTAAATGTTTTAGTCTTTTGCTGTCATCACTGTAAGTTAGCCAAGGCTATAGTTTGTGTAACCTTAACAACAGGCCACAAACATTGAAAAAAAAGGAAATGCCATGTGTTGTTTGAGCACATGACAGTTATCTTCTGCTTTTAGCTCACACACAGCATAATGTTTCAGGAATAACATATACCAGAAAATTAAGGCAAAAATGTTAACATAAATTAAACATAGTCATGTAATGGCTTCACCTAACCATCTGATTATTCTCAGTAACCAGAGTAATGTTTGCATATAAACTTGTCCAATGAGGGCAAAACCTCTCAAAATAACCTTCCAAAAAAGACAAGCTGAGCCAGCGAGCAGCCGAGATCAATAGAGAGGCCGCACAGAGGACAGGGGCAGTAACACAGCATTAACTAGTAGATATGTTAAAAAATACTAAATAACAGACTTTTGTTCATGAGCGACTTTGACTATTAACCTCATAAACTAAATGTAAATAGCTGGTGAATGCTAGAATTGATCTATTAATCAATGTGCACAAAATAAAGTTGGCTTCTTTTTTGGCAGGCGTTGCTGTAACTTCCAAAAAGGCAATGAAAAAATGTAAGAAAAAACTCAAATTTGCAAGAAAAAAAAATATGAAAAAATGTCCCAGTAATCCTAACAAAGCCTGACCCAAGTAACAATCAGCAGTCACAAATATTACATCAGAAACAACACAACCTTAATGAATCTGAAACATGGTGGTCATGTCATGTGTATATTTTAAAAACAAAGAGGCCGCACCTTTACAGTACTCCATGAGGATCAGGACCTCCCAGACGCTGTCCGACACCGCACTGATTGTGGAGTCCAAGTAGTTCACTATGTTCTTATGGCCTGACAGCTCCTTCTGCAAATGGCATGAAAAGATGGGAGTGATCAGGACGGAAAGACACAAAAGAATTCAAAAATGTACTAAACGGGAAGAAAGGAAGACCCCACTAAAGAAGATAGAAACTGTGAATCTCTAGAATTTAATTGTTGAGGACATAGGTCCCACTGCACAAAGCACAAATACAAAGTACATACATGGATTGCTTAAATGCACTATTGCCCATTTCAGTAAATGTTGACGAGTGTTCCTGTTTGGACTTGTCATGTTGTTTCTGCTGTATTTGTTCAGCAGTGACAAGTTTCTACTGAAAGTACAATTTAAAATGCAGCATTAAAAACTGCGGTCCTGAATAAAGCTCTGCTGTTTCTGTCATCTCGTTTTAAGTTGTAAAATCAACAACAAATGTAAACTGCATTAAAGCGGACAGAACAGTCAGTCATGTTAGAGGAGTTAAACATTGCATAAAAGTTGCAGCCCACCAGAAAGAATAAAGAGAGCAGTGTAAATCTGTGAAAACCACATCCAAATAATCAAACACTCAAAGAAGAAAAACTGCTGGTGATTACATCCTTAGAGAAGACATCCCAAGCAGTTCAACATCCAGCTGAACTCAGTCCAGCCTCGGCTTTGCAGTCAAGCTACTGTGTGGCAAGAATGCGTTTTGTATTCTTTCATGTTCTTACGCCATGCTGATCTCTTAACTCCACTAATCTTTCTTAACTTGATTGATTCACTGGATTAAAGTGTTTGTGGTTGTTGGTTGTTGAAACACAGCACGGGACCAGAAGACTGCTGTGTGCTGTGGAAAGCGACACACCTAAGGCAACGTCCCAAAAGGCCAGAACTGTCGATGTTTAAGGTCAGCTGTGTGTGTGTGGGACTGTGTGGGTGAGTATTACACATTGTTCCAGCAGATGAAGCAGTCAACAGACACACACAAAGCTGGCCAAACAGCTCAGAATGAGCTGTTCACTGACACACTGGGGTCAAACGGTCAAGACGAGACATCTGCTGTTGTGCAAGTCCTATATGTCTGGTAGGTTATAGAATAAATGAGAATATATAACTGATAGATCAAACGTATTTGTCAGTGGGCCAGGTGCATTAATACAACGTCACTCAGCACACAGCCAAAAAGATTTTTGCTCTTGCCAGACTGGGAATGCTGGAAAACAGGATGGGTTAGGCAGATGGAATGAGGATATTATATGCATCTAGTTTTATGAGAGCACGTGTCTTCATGAGGGCTCTGTGGAATTATGTGCTTAAGTTAAATACCTGAAAACTGATAGTCTTCAAGTTCAAATTAAGAATTTGTTCTCCATTCAAGAGATAACTGGAAGGAAATGCAGCTAAACCCAAGCATTAGTTTGACCCTGCAACTGAACGGTGGAATATAATAGAGTAAATGAAAACTAACGTGCGGTGAGCATATTCAAAATGAAAGCTCTCTTAAAAATAAAGATAAACAGGAAGACTTCAGTTTAGATGAGAGATAATGTCTCTGACTTTCAGCGTGTACTGTGATGGTGCTCTCACCATGATAGTGATCTCCCTCTTATAGACATTCAGGTCCGGGACGTTGTTGACGTACATCCTTTTGAGAGCGCAGCGGACGCCGCTGTGCGTACGAGCCAGAAACACCACTGAGAACCCTCCTGGAAAAACCAAAAGATGACAAGTTAGCATTACATCAGCAATCTTCACTCTTCTCATACACGGAAATTATTTTATAGGGTAATGGTTATGAGGGTTCAGACAGAGAAGCTTCTAATTGACAATTGCTAGATTTGCCTCTTTGCCTTGCATGAAAAATAAACCTCGGCTCATATTATTTCATGACAGCAGCAACTGCAGAGACATTTCAGGGTTAAGATCCACACAGCCAATAAATCATTTCTTTACATGCACATGTTTAGTTTCATCTTCCTCCCAAACATCTTATTTTGCCACAAAGGTATCTGTTGAGATGTCCATGAATAAACATTTCCTGCCCAGTTTCATGTCCAGTTGTGCTGCTCAGTGTACAAAAGACAAGTAGAGAGCTTTTAAAAACCAATGTCGAAAACTCAACAAATAAAGTGTTATCAAAGATTTATTAAGGGTCTCCAAAAGCTGTTATTTTAACAGCAGCTAACTACCATCCATTTTCATGGGCAAGTAGTCTGAGCTCATTTAGTTTGCACTGGCCAAACTCCAACTGGTCTAATCCTGGAGTGAATGAAGCAATTTGCTTTTTAAAATGAAAAAGGTTTTACAACAATGAAATATGAAGCTGAAATTGCCACGGGTGAGTGGAGTTCTGGTGTTACTCATTGTCAATATTTTTCACATTTCGTTATGTTGCAGCCGTTTTCTAAAAATAAAAATAATAATAATTCAAGTGTAGAAACATCTCAAAGTTGATCAAGAGAAATATGTGTTTTTACTTTGTCATTATAGGGTATTGTGCGTAGATAAATGAGGAAAAAGTATTTCTTTTTTTTATTTTAACTTCAGATTGCAACATAACAAAATGTGAAAACACTGAAGGGGTCTGAATAGTTTCCGAAAACACTGCAGGAGTAGACGGTGTTGACAGAGACCAAGGTGTTTAGCTGGGTGCCAGTAGCTGTTGTCACTGTCCTGTGTGCATCTCTGGGTGAAAGGACTGCGTCTCATTAGACGGGGTTCACTGAGTCACTGAGTGGTGGGCATCAAAGTCCACCGACCAGAGAGGAGAAAGAAGAGATCTACAATGGCATGCTTGTTCCCTTACAAGTCACCTTAGGTCATCTGAAAAACAGCATGGATTTGGATTGGGAACGAGCAGGAGGGGAGGGAGGTGAAAGTGACCAGTGGGCACAAAAGCCGTCATTGAAGAGTCCATCAAAGCTACTTTTAAACAAATGTGGGGACAGTGCAACACAAAAACCCCCAAGTACAAATAATTCATGCAGGTTAAATCTGTGTTCCCATGGGAACAGTAAATAGAAGACAGCGGACCTGAAAGTCAGGTAAATTCAGGTAAACATAAACAAACTGAAGCATAGTGTTTGCTTGTATGTTGTCACAACAGTGTGAGTTACTGTGGCACACATTATCAGATTAGATGGGGTGACTGATGCCATTTTGCAGCACAGAGGAATAAACAGGCAGCTAACGAGACAAAAGACAGCTTGCAACAGCAGAGCTGCAAGTCATACTAAAGCAAGGAAGAGCACTCGATAGTATAAATGAGAAACCACCACGAACCACCAAAGTGACAGCACATTCTGACTGGATGTAGTGCAGTCTATTCTGTCTCATCTAGTGTTTTACCTCATTTCAAAACCATCCTATGGATCAGTTGCATCAAAAGTCACAGAGATGTTAGATTAGCACCTCTGCTGCTGACGGTCCTAAGGTCAGAGTTGGCTGCATATAGACATTAGACAAACAATAAAAACTAGAACAAACTCCGCCAACCAGTCAAGTTGCAGTTACACCTACGTCTGTCCTGACTAATGTTGTGAAGAAATTTTGTCATAGCGTACGTTGTGAGGTCACAGTGACCTTTCACCTTCGAGCACCAAATTCTACTCAGTTCATCCTCAAGTTCAAAGTGAACGTTTGTGCCAGTCAGATGTGATGAAATCCCCTGCAGGCGCTCCTAATATATTTCACAAGAATGGGATGGTTGTGAGGTCGCAGTGACTTTGACCTTTAACCACCAAATTCTAATCAGTTCATCTTTAAGTCCAAGTGCATGTTTGTGACAAATTTGAAGATATCCCCTCAAGGGGTTACAGAGATGTCACGCTCACGAGAATGGGACAAACGGACAACCTGAAAACACAATGCCTCCGGCCGCGGCTGTCGACGGTGCGGAGGTGTAAAAGATAGGCTAGTGCTGGTGGCACAATAAAACAAGCTGCTTTTAAAACGTAATGTTGATGTTGCTGAAAATGAAAACACACAGACGAACAGGAACAGGAACTAACTTATATTAACGTGAAATATCTCAGATGCAGGTGGTAAAGAGGAATTAGAATTAGTCAGAATAATGTAACGGAATGAAAAGACAATGTTTTTTATGGATGTATAGATGGAGCCAGACCTGCTGCAATTAAAAAAAATAAATAAAATTTAAAAAAAAAGATAAACCAGAGACAGAAATTCTGCCAAGACAAAGTACAAGAGCCAGAGCTGTTTACACCTGCTGGATGCTGTTCATTGATTTGCCTTGGTCTGCACTGTGTGCTAAGGTCAGCTTGATGGTCACTCCAAACTGCTGGGCTGGGCTTCAATTGATTTCCTGTAACAAGGCAGTGGAGTGCAGAGCCATCCAGAGACTTGGGGGGGGGGGGGGGGGGGGGGGAGAGGGGGGGGGGGGGGGGGGGGGGGGGGGGGGGGGGGGGGGGGGGGGGGGGGGGTGAACTAGAGGCAGAAAACTGAATCATATGACATAGTCTTGTGAAAGAACAGCTTTTAAGACAGCAGGATGCACTCAGCTCTGAAGACTTTCTGCGGGCTGAAACACAATCACACATAATGCAGATTCTGCTTCATGACCCTGGTGTATAAGAAAAAAGGACCTGTGAGTCATCCTGTCCAAATCTCAAACATTATGTGCTGCTTTGACACAAAGACGTGGGATGCAGACGTAGTAAAGATAAAACTTGAGGCAGCAATGTAGGCAAGAAGATGTGGGGGTTGCTCAGACCGGATGACAGATTTCACAAGGCAAAATCCATTTGCTCGGGCAAGGGGCCAAGAGGCTGGAAAGAGCAGGCTGTTTAAGCATGCATGGACAAGAGACAAAAGAGCGGCTAACCTTCACTGAAAAACAAAAAACTGAACAAACTAGGGAGCTACACTTTACATCCTAACAACCAAATCCACCTCCACTGTGTTGCCTCATACCTAGTGCAGACTACAAGATATTTTGTGTGTCAGACTGTTGTCATGTTCACTTGGGAGTGCCCAAATGACAAGGTGTACTGATTGAAAGATTATTCCTGTCCAAGAGATCCATGAGTGGAACGATTAATCTGATCATCTCTTGTCTTGGATGCATCTCTGAGGTGCTCCAAAACTCTCCATTCTGAGCATCTGGGACAGCTCAGAAAACAACCACTTATACTGGACCAGCCATGTTGACATGTTACCCTTCCTGTGTTTCCCGGTACTAGCCGGTACTTGTCTGTTATTACAAAATGACCACTTCACCAATCCTGGCTGCTGGTGCTGTGGCTGCAAAAGGGGAGGTGGCTTCTGGAAAGTTAGGAGAAGATAGCGGCCTCAGCTCAGGCCATCCCACCAAATGCTTCATATCTGCCTGCTGGGCTGCTCTGGGACTGACTGGGGCCATATGCTCCAGGATCAGGTTCTCACTAAATCACCACACTGAGCCTTTTGTTGCCTCCCATGACTATGCCAGCCACGGAAGTGGTACGCTATTGAGTGTATTATTCTCCTGAGTGGCTCTGGATGGAATGATTTGTTTTGGAGGGGCTTTGTGCCCAGCATAGCAACTTCCTGGACAAATGAGGGAATCCTAAACGACACAAAATGCCCCTCACTGTACAAGAGGTTGGCTCCAACCGATGACAATAACAAAGCTGTCTTCAACTGACTGACACTGGCTGCACGAATGCAAACATTAACATTAAGATGCCACAACAATGTGTTTGAATGGGGAATGCAAATATGAGACGCTCAAGATAAAGCAGACTGGGCTAGGCAAGCACTCTGAGCAAATGATTATTTTTAGTGTTCCTTTGGATGCTTTTTGAAAATTAATTATTGATAAGATCCAATAAAAATGTTCTCCAATAGCCGTTCCATTTTGGATGTAGTTGCAATTTGGAAATACCTGGATTAATTAATTAATTAGTGTCCTATGAAACCTCTTACAAATGTTTTAATCTTCTCAATCTTTTTAGAAGTAACGAGTAATGTAAAAAAACATTTTGGAGGCCTTATGCTAAACAGCAAATATGGAATATATCGAGAAAAAAATGAATATTAGAGCATAGCTGAATGTCAATCCTTGAGTTTTATTATTTGTAACTGAATCCATTCAGTGTACTAAAGCACTGCTGATGGGCATTTCTAACTCTGGTACTCAGCATCCATTAGTCACATCTCTCTGCTATTGTGCCTCCCCTCCTGCTTGTCTGTTAGCTGGCTGCACTGTGGAGAGGGGACAGAAGCACTTCACTGCTGTGAGGATATGGTCAGTTGTCAATGACAGTTGGGAGGAAAACCCCGAATTCACCAGGCCAAGGAGAAGGGGGGGTTTACTGACATTAAAAGCCTGGTACTAAGCAAGGGCTGTAATTACTGGAGAATTTTCCCTAACCCTGCATCCAGCGCTAGGGACCCTGACATCACTGCAAAGCCTGACTAACTAGGACAGTCACAGGCAGCCCACATGACAGCCTGTGGAAGAGGCCTGAAAGAGGATCTCAACAGCCTCTGCGAAACAGATACTCAGCGTGCCTTGTGATATGGGCAAGGAAAAAAAAAAAAAAAAAAAACAACTTCAGAAGTGGTAGAGGAGTGTTTCAATGAGGGGGGATTAGAGGATTAAGTAACATGCAGCAAACAGAGATGATACATTCATAGTTTCTGTTCAAGCAAGAGGCACAGATGTTCTTCCTCTGAAGCATGATGTCATCTGTGATAACAGACC